TGGTATAGGGTTGGTTATTTGTTTGTTTGTTTTCCTTATCTTGAAGTTTTCTTTTGGCAGTACTTAACAGAAAGGAAAAGAGAGAGGCAGAGCAAATGAAATCAATATTCTCCCTCTAAGTCTCATGGATGCTGCGATCCCCACATTTCAAACTCTATCATTACTTCGTTTTTCCAATGTCTGGGCTTGGTAAAATGCCACTATCTTACCTGGAGAAAATGAAAGTTAGTGCAAGGCACACAGTAATTTGGGAGTTTCCCTGGTGTACTGCATTCCCTTTGGTGGGAGAAATTGTGAGTACAGAGAAAATTAGGAACTTTTAATCTTGATCAGAGAGCAGAAGAGCACGGTCAGGGTGAATAATATCCGTGTAATCCAAAAACCACGCAGACACTGTGCTCTGCCAAAAGGTCCTAGAAATCTTCTAAGGCCACTGTATTGTAGCATTTCATTCTCACGCTCGACCCGTGCTGTGGGCAGATGAAGGCACGATGGGCTCCAGCATGCCCTGGTAACCCGGGTGTGTGCAAGGGCAGCTCCTGTCAGCAGCTCGCAGCCTCTGCTGCCCTCTGCCTGGCGCCTGGAGCTGCTGAAACACCCACACGGGATCACTTTGGGCTGAGCAATTCCTGCTTGATCCACCTGAATTGGCCAGCATGCTCCTTGACAGCTCCTGGTGCTCTGCATGAGGGCAGACAGCTTCCCTGAGCTGCAGCATCACCCCCAGCTCACAGGGCACGACTAGATCCCCAAAATGGGGACATCACTAAACCAGGGAGTTTCCCAAACAGGGGAGATCCTAAACAGGAGAGATCCCCCAAACTGGGGAGAACCCCAAACAAGAGAGATCCCTAAACAGGGGAGATCTGTAAAAAGGAGAGATCCCTAAACAGAGGAGATCCCCAAACAGGAGAGATCCCCAAACTGGGGACATCCCTAACCAGGGAGCTCCCACAGAGCAGTGCTCTGTTCTGCCAGGACAGGCCAATGCCACAATGGTGTCAGAGAGTGGCAAGCCTGAAATCCCATCTCCCTCAGCCTGCAGGTCCCACAATGGTCTGCATTTCTCTAGGATTTGGTTGCTGCCTGTGAGTGCTGAAACTACTGATACTCTCAATATTAGGGGTGGGTGGTGGCATCTGTCCCTTCCCAAAACTACCCACAAGCAGGTTAAAGGAAGCTGCCTGTCTTACCTGAGAAACCAGAGTCACCCACAATTTGTAGTTGTCAGTTCAACCTGAATTTACAAGGCAAAGCCAATGCTCATGTGACTGCAGCACTGAAATAAGAACATTTTTTTAAAAGTGCTAAAAAAAGTTACTTAAAAAAGAATATCATATAAAACACTCCAATTGTATGGATTATTTTTCATTTTCTCTGTAATGCTCCTTAAAATGCTGCTCTGTAGAATACCATCATATCATCAGCTGACCACAGAATATATTAATATTATTCGCTCATCTCTAGTCTCATATGCTGTATCTCATAAACTGTTCAGGGAAAGGGCTGCAATTTTGTTATTGTTATTCCTTTAACATTAGAATCTCACACTGCAGGACAGCAAATAAATAGTTCCTGGAGTATTTGGCTAAAAATAGCACAGGCTCTGATTTCTTTGCAGATATTAGGAGGAGTTCCTCTTAGCTTTTCACTAAGCAAAAGATATCCCAAACTTAGCTGAAGTATTACTTCAAATAAACACAGCTCACTGCCATTTTTATTCTAATTATTTAAATATATTAATACAGTTTAAAATAGCTTGTCTCAGAAATTTCTAATGAAAACTTCCTAATTTTTCCACCAAGTCTTTTATTCAAGGATATCCAAAGAAAATACTTTGGTTCAGGACAGCAAACTTTAGTTTTAATTCTATAGCTTTTAGAGGCATTTTGAGTCACTGCAAAACTAAAATGTATCCTTCTGCTGCAGCTTACTGCTCTGTGGAAACCATAATGGTCAAGAAAAAACAATCCCAGAGAAATTTCCCAGGGAAAATTGTAACTCCAAGAAGAGAGGAAGGAGGGAATAATGAGAGATGCTGGAATAGGGTCACTCTCACCTCTTTAGCTATGTGACATTAAAACTACTAAGGAGAAGTATCCATGTTAGGCACCTTCACACTTCACAAAGGTAATAAATCCAAATAAAACGGTCCTACATTTAAGTTTCTTTGAATTCAGACAAGTTTGGGAATAACTCTTTCTTACCTTGCTGCAGCCATCAGTTTGGATCTGGTCTTACCCAGGTCTGGTGCTTTTACTAACTATCAAGGTCCTCAATTAAATATTGAACAGTTTAGATGCAGGACAGAATCCCATTCAGTGCATCCTTCCAATTTGACATGGTACTGTTCATATGCATTTCCTGACTTTTCCATCAAGTTTTATCAAACTTCAGATAGCCCACATTTCCACAGAATTTGTGAGATAGTGTCAAAGCCACATTAAAGAGCAGTAAATGACATTAACAGCTTCTCTCTTGAAAACAGACCTCTAGCAATGTCATCAAAGAGAACTAAGTAACTTTGACATTATTTGGTGAATACTGACTCTGCTTTCCTTCCAGTGCTTACAATCTGATTATTTGTAGGATATTCTGAGAAGTGCAATCAGGTTGGCTGATTTATAGCACTGCAACTTCTCTTACCTTCTGAAGAAAAGGAAATGTTTGACCTTTTCCCATCCTCCACAGGTTTTCATAGATAATTGCTAATAGCTCTGAGGTTGATACTGTTCCCCTAAGTGCCCTGGGATGAATCAGCTCAGCCAATTTGAAAATATCATGTTTATCTAGCTATTTTCTAATAGCCTTGACAGAAATCTTTCCTGAACACCAGCGGTGTTGAATGCATTGGCCATTTTCATTGACAATAAAAGCCAAAAAAGCCATCAATTTTCCCATCTGTCACAGAGCCTTCCTGAAATACTGCAGTTCTGAAAAAACCACCATTTTCCTTTTTCTTCATTATACTGCTAGAAATACAAAATTTTTTCTTTACTTCTTTTTTTTGCTTTGTGTATAAACTTTAAGTGAAAAGGGTGTCAGATGATCATCACAGATTCACAAGGCTCTGAGCCTCTCCAAGAGCTACATGAACCCAAAATCTTCAGCTTTGCCTCTGTACATTTCCTGTGTTTTCCTTTTTAGACAGATCTTCCCCTGTATGCTTGAGCAGGTGCAAGCACCACTACAAAAATGGAGCCTGAGGAAGACATGAGAAATAACATGAAAGCAATGAAGAATATAAGAGACAGGAATGAAGGATGTGTGTGTGAGGGGGTGTCTCCAAGACACCCCTTAAAGCTCAGCAGCCTGATTGGAGGTGACATCACACAGCCAAAGCTGAGAGAGTTGGCACTTCATAAGTGGGAGCTGGGCTTCTCTCAGATCTGCTCTCAGCTTCACTGGCCTTCTGTGGCAGCATCAGCCAGGCTTTGAAAAGGCTTTCAAAAGCTCAGAAAGACCAGGCTTTATTAGAAGATGAGCTAAAGTGACTCACTTCTAAAACAGATCAGTCAGGAACAGAAATGCAAAGGCTCTGCAAAGCCCAGCTCTCCCATCTTGGTGCTGTGAGCTTCCCTCTGACATCCTGCTGCTGCCATGGCTCACGTGCTGGGCTCTCATCCCTTGGACATTTCTGCACGATGGAACAGAAACCACCCACAAGCAGTTCCTGTCACAGGCAGGCACCAATAACCTGCCCAGTATGAGGTGCAGGGTGCTCTGCTTGTCTCCTCTCACACACCTGCACGAGTGGTGCTTGGTGCTCCTGCCCCTGGTGCTGGGTTGTGCCATTCCCTTGGGTTCAGGCAACTCCACCTGCTCCAGCTGCATAAGGACTCTCCTGGCCATGATTCCATCCCAGGCTCCTTTATGAGCTTCCCTTTTGGAAGGATATCTGGGGAAGCACGTGGCCATCAGGGGTGACAGCACCACAAAGCAGAGATGTTAATGCTTGTAATGCTACTGATGTTTCCAACTTCATTTCTAAGCAGCAATGACAGCTCCAACATCCCCAAATCACAGTGGTTTCAGCTTTGCCTTATCTCCCCATGCACACATGCAAATCCACACAGACTTTGACATCAGTTTCTACCAGGGCACAGTTTTCTGTCACGTAAAATGTCAGGATGTGATCTTCCATATTTCACTAGTCCTATCCTGCCATTTAATTTAATAACAGCTAAATATCAAGTGGTTACTATTTTGATGCTGTGTTCCATCAGCCATTGAATTAGAAATAATGAGACAAATCTAAAACTGTGATTCATGGTGAACTGCCCAAACCAATCTCAATCACACAGCAGATGACATGGAGTGATAACTGATTTAACAGATGATCATCTGTTCAGCTGTCCTGTCCTCTCTCTCAGAAACGGGAACATTCATGAAAGACAAGTTCACTTATGCTTTACAAGACTTTCCCAAACAATATAAACACCTAACTAGGAACCAATTTTTTTCTTTCTGCTAATTATAGACTTTTAAATTGAGTTTTACTAGTATTTGTGTATATGGCAACCCTTTGTGGCTTCAGGAAGCTGAGCTGCTGAGGGGTTTAAAAAGTATCTTTGGCATTTTCCATGAACATTTTTCAATTTACCATCATCTCAAACCAAAGCAGGTTCCTCACCCAAACTGTCCCTTGGCTAGTTCCTTGCACCTGGTGTAGCAGCTGCCCATTGCTGATCCTAAAAGAGTCAGGCAAGGGAGTAACTAGTTGCCCTGTTAGAAAAGACTTTCCAAAAATTGATTTGTAAGACTTTTAAAATGTTGAAAGTGTGTGCCCCAAAAGAAATCTTCTCTCTGTATCTTCACTCTTCACCAGGTTTCAGTTGCACCTTTTCACTGCTGGACTCAGGTATTCTTTGCCAGGTTTAAAGATGCCTTACACATATTCCGCTGCATCAAATCTAGAAATTCTCAGTAAGCTGTAAGTCATCTATAAATAAAATCAGTTGTTAATCTTTCCTTCATATCTTTTATTAGTGACCATCAACAAAAAGTTGACTGAAATGTTGCTATTGATGATAGTGACATCAAGAGGCAGAATTTTCCAGGTATGTTTTCCCAGTTTGCTTTTGGAAATGGTATAATGAATTAATTCATTATCAGAAACAATGAATTAATTTTTGGTGTCTGGCAGTCAGTTTTGTCATTTGCTCACAGATTTGTACTTGCCAGGCCAGACAGCAACTTCAAGATGCCTTTATGGCTGAGAATGATGGGGTCTTATAGATCAAAAGAATTTTTACCACAAAAAAAGATCACCTTCATGAGCAGGTAACAGGGTCTAAATAAAATTACCTACTGTAGACAAAAGGGGCTTTTGAACTAGAAATTCAAATCCAATACAAAAAGCATTATATGGTCTCAAGAAATACATTCAGAAAAATCAGAAAGATGTTTCCTAGCAGGTCTGTGACCCTGCCCATGTCCAGTCTAGCGTGGGATGGCACAGAGCCTGTAGGGCTGGGGCTGCAGAGTGCCCCCCATGACGGGCTCCGTGCTGACCCGGCTCACTCCCTCGGGCAGGCGGAAGGTGAACGCCCGCAGCAGGCTGGCAAAGAAAATGAACAGCTCGGTCCTGGCCAGGTGCTCCCCCAAACACACCCGGTGCCCTGCAGAGGGAACAGGAAAGGACACTGAGTAAACAAACCTGACCCCAACAGCAACTGTTTTCATCCTCATACAGTGCAAAGGTATTTTTGCCAAGCTCAGGATTTCTGTTGGACTTAGTGCAAGCAATGTATTTCTTCCTTCAAAGAATTTTATCTGCAGCTTCAAAGAATTTTATCCATGTAACCCTTCTGCTCCCTTCAATTACCTCAAAAGCCTCATCTTCATTTGACTGACAACTTTAAAGGAATTCATTCCACCATGTAAATGAAGAATAAGGACCTGCTTTTCCTGGGAGATGCCATGTTCTAGTGTTGAATGCATAAAGAATCAAGAGGACTGCTTGAAAGTGCTTTCCATACATATGTATGTTACAAAATGAGTGCCCAAAATCAATAGCCACAATCATTAGCAGAGAATGTTCTTCCAAGAATAGGGCAAGTTAGATATATATGTTTGTCAGGACACCTCTGATATTCTGTGTTATTATTTGTTCAGTAGAACACATGTTACTGAAAATAATCATGTTGATTTAAGCACTTTTGTTTTCCACAGAAAGGTTTAAAATAGACAAGCAGTAGATTTTTAATAGACATCATTCTACAGCCCCCATCCAAGCTGATGATATTTGTGCTGTAGCCCATTTACCTATTGAGAACGGTAAAAAGGCTTCTTGGGCCACAAAGTTTCCATCCTTATCCAAGAAGTGCCCAGGGTTGAACTGTCGAGGTGTTTCCCACTGCTCTGGGTCATACAAAGATGAAGCAATATTTGGAAGAACTATGGTGCCCTGAAAGGAGAAAAACATTCATTCTGTTCCTTGTTGACATTCAGACCATGACCCAAAGGCATCTAGCCCCCCTTCTGTTGAGGAGAATGCCCTGGCACAAACAGATTTCAATCCACACCATGATGCAGGAAAAGTCTGTAGCCACTGAGAAGCTGTGTCTGTACCTTTTTGAGGGGAAAGCCAAGCAAGGTTGTGTCCCTCACACACACCCTGGGCATGCCCACTGAAATGATGTTGCTGAAGCGTTGGATCTCATGAATCACAGCGTTGGTGTAGGGCAGCTCTCTCCGATCCTCGTAGAAGATTACCTTGGAGGGACCCAGAACAGCATCCAGCTCCTTCTGCACTTTCTCTGGGGAAAACATTCAGATTCAGGCAGAACATTTCCAGTGATTTCATTTTCAAAGGCATTTTCAACATAGAACTATGAGAACAACATCACAATTAATTTAGAAATGTAAGTAACTTCTTATGAAGAAAAATAAAGTAGCAGGATGTTCCAACAGCTTAAACATAAGAGAGCTCTGCTTCTGGGTCTGAAGTTATTTGATCATAGATTAAGAAAAGACATTTGTTGCTCAAAAATTTAAAGCTGAATGTTGCCTTACTACCACAAATCCAAGAGATAACAGATTTATCTTTGGGTTTTCTTTTGCCTAGGTGCCTCAAACACCTGCAGCCAGTTAGAACATTAAGCTCACAGCTCTCTGAAATTTATGCCAGGTGAGTCTGAGCCTTAAAAGCCTAATTCCTGTTAAAAGGACATGGTTCTTATGCAGGGTGTCTGTTAAGTGAAGCAATGCCAAGTAGAACAAGGTCCAAGTACTATTTTAAAAAATTGATCTATTGCTTGGCATCTGCCTTTTAATCAAGAACAGCGTGTTTTAAATTACTTATTGCATGGGAGTCTTGGAGGCATTAACAAAAATAAAACCTTTGATTTATAAACTTCAAGAGAGGCAGTACACACCTAATAAAAATACCTTAGATTTTTAATAAATGATCCTGTCTTTTTTCAGGCTTTTTGAAGCAACAGTAATACACAGGGAAGTCCATTCGGCATTGATCAGTCTGTGCCCATTCACATCAAGCATGCCCTGTGACTGCCAGCAGTCCTTCATTAAAGTGACAACAGAGATTTAAGCACCTTACAGAATTTAAAATGTATATTCAAAACTATTTTTAAGTTAACTTTCCTCCATGAAGAACTATCTTGCAGAAGAACTTGAGAATCCAGGTAGTTTGAAGTAATCAGTCACTGCATCATATAAACACACATTTCTATTCCTGATTCAGGGAAGAGGCAAAAGGCCAAATTTCTCCTTATGGTACAGAGTGGAACACTGTCATTGGATGTCAACACAGGGAAAGTATGAATGGGTTCAAAAAGAAGGCACCAATTAATTAAATGAGGACAGACATACTGGTGTCAGCTCGTTCTAAGTCCTGATGCAATGTATTTCTCAAGAAGCTCAGGAAGAATCACTCTGCACATGCTGTGCTTTCCCAAATATGTGCAATATTTAGCTAAATAAAATTATACAGGTGAGTCGGTGCTTTCATAACCTTAATTAGAGTAAGCGATAACAAAACATGTGATAACATGAGATTAAGCAGAATTTCTTGTCTGACAGCTACAAATTGACCAAGTTTTTCTTATCTTCATCTCTTTCATCCATTTAAAATCCTGTTCTCCTCTGGGAGTTGCATATATTCTGCAAGGTAACTGTGAGATTTTGGTTATCCAACATAAGACATGTTTCTTCCTTTGGTTTTCATTCAGTGCTCTATTAAAGGGATTGGTAGTTATTTTAGAACTAGACTTAAAAGCAAATTTCTTAAATACACATAGAGGTAACAGAGGAGCCATCTGTTTCCACTGCTGACTAGAAAAATTTCTGTTACAAGAGACTCAAATACATCACAGAGTTAATTTAATCCCTGGATCTGCTGATGCTGCCTAGGGCAGACCTACAAGTACAAAAAGGTACATGTGCCACTAGACACATACCAGGATCTAGGAATAATCTCTGATCCATGAGAATGACAGGGAAATTGTTTTTTCTATTGCATGGGAGATATCTGTGATGGGCTTATCTATTCACCTTGGATGTCTGGATTTGCGACCATATAGAGAAGGCCCCAGTTCAATGTAGTGCTTGATGTCTCTGATCCACCCAAGAAAAGGTCATTTATAGAATAAACCATGTTGTCTTCATTGTATGTTGACCTGGGTTCATCTTTGGACTGCAAATGATAAGAAAAGTTAAAAGCTTATATGTGAAAGTTAGAAAAAACAGAATTGGATTAAATGTGATTTCATACTGGGCTGAATAAAGTTCTTAACCTGTGGCATTCAGGTTTCTTCTACACAAGGGCACAATGACTCATGTACAGCTGCTCTGGGGTTTTAGAGTTTTCAATTAGGAGTGTGAGGATGTGTATGTATACACTGAAATTATAAATAAACACAGCTATGGTTTGGGGGAATTCATTGTCTGTATTTACGGAGGTTTTGCTCAAGGGTGTTGAACATTTCTGTTGCCAGTGGAGCAATTGAAAAGAAGGAGAGATGCTTCTCCCTGCTGTAATATCATCTAATCTTTTTTTATTGCCCCTGTTCACCTATTAGAGACAGTTCAATTTTTTTAATAAACAAACTTGGATGATTTCCACCCAGCAGAGTCCCAGAAGAGCTCACTGAAACAATTTCTGGCACGCTGATGTTCAAGTCTCATAAATTCCTAGAGCAGCAATGAAAAGCTTTAGAAACAGTCAAATGCTTTGGAAGGCCAGGTGTGTTACTGTGCTGATATAAAAAAATTAAAACAAGAGGATTCAAGGAGCTAGAAGCCATTTAGGCTGACATCCACACCATACATAAGAATATAGCAGCTGATGTGGGAATTCATCAATAAATAATTATCAGGGGGAGGTAGGTGAGTGCTGCAGCCCAACAGGTTGTGGCTGCCTCTGTTGCTGCTACAGCACATGAGAGTGGTGAAAGGGACACTGGCTGTCCCTGCAGGACAGCACTGCCACCAGGAACAAGAGTCACTGCCCACTTCCCAGGGCCTTTGGCTCTCTGGGCCACTCTTGCCTTGCCACACCCAAGTAGGACCAGTCTCATCTTGCCACTTCCTCTCTTTCTCCTTTTCCTTCCTGCCACCAAGCAGAACAGGAAGAGGAAAATATCCTGACACAGCAGAGGAGAGGAGAAAGGAAAACTGATTTAAGTGGAGGTAGGAGTCACAGAGGGGAAGGGCAACTGACAGTCCAGGCATCAGGGCTGGGATCCAGTACCCAAGAGATTCATGCAAAGTGATCCTGGTATGGTCTAGAAAAGGGAGAGATCTTGTGATCTCCTACAGCCCTACTGATTCCCACCTACCTCTACTAAGCCTGCCTGACCAAAATGCCCTTATCTGTCCCAGTTCCTTTGTCTGGTTGACACTTCACTGACCCTGGTGACACTTCACTAACACTGCCGACTCCTAGGTTATTTCTCCATAAAATGTTCTCAAAATCCAGCTGTCCTCTTGCAAATTCTCTTGGCAAACCTTTACTGGGAAAATATTGTAACCAGAGCATCCCACTCTGTCTTCCAAAGACCTTCAATCATTTTACAACTTGTGCCAGTGAAAAAAAATGCAGTGTATTAACCTGCCATTTAATGAAAGGATTGCAAGGTGCTGTGGCACATCAATGATCAGAAAGGATTTAGGAAGATCCTGGTTATTGGATTCACATTACCAAATGTAGAAAGGCAAGAGATTGTGATGATTCAGACTGGTTGTGAAGATTCAATAGTCCCTGTTGACCTTTTCCCCTATGACTGTATGATGGGGCAGAAAAAACTTACTTTTTCAATGTGATCCAGGTAGAAGTCAATGAAATCCTGCAGCTCCTCTGGTGCCCCACGCTCTGTGTGCATTCGGATCTCTCTCCGTGTAAAGTTGCTCAGGACATCATAACAAGCCAAGGCCTTCTTGTGAGGCCCAGGGAGGCGGCTCATCAGCCAGGGGAAGATTTCATAGAGCTGTGGGATTGACACACAAGAGGCCCTGCAAAGTCTCTATCACGAGAAAATGCACTATGGATGCCTGCTACAAAGAGAGGTAACGTTCATGTTAGCTTGGGATTAGGGTCTCATCAGCAAAATATCCTGACAAAGACTGTGCTTGGTCTTTCAAGCTGTGAAAAGTAAACTGTATAATTTCTAGTTTTGATGGTAAGATTCAGAGTTCCAAAGGCTTTCAGCTCAATCACAGGCTGAATTAGAATTACTGTAACTAGAATGAATGATATTTACCTATGCAGTTATTCATATCTTCAATTGCTATGAACTGCATTCGGGCATTTTAAAAGTGAGCTCCTGCCCTCCAGTGGAGAATACCGGGAAGGGAGAAGCAAAAGTTGGAAACTCCTCACCAGGTTGCTTGTCAAAGCAAGGACTGGCTCCCAGTGGCTGCTTTACAGGCTGGGTAACCCCCAAAGTACTCTCTACCAATCGACTTCTCAAGGTTCCTCCATGAAATTTCAAATATCTGAAAACCAGAAAACCTAAGGAACAGATACCTGACAATTTTGAGTACTCTCCTCTAGAAAGAGAGACAGGGTTATGTGGCACAACTAGATTTTTTTTTTTCCTTCAGTTTTACCATTTGGGAAAATCTGGCCTAAGAAATAACTGATTTTGACCTATTCTGATAGCTAGAAAGTTAATTCTGGTTTCCAGCCTACATTTATGCCTGGGTAATCTGTCTATTCTTGTATCTCCAAGATACAACGCTCTCTTAATAGTTCTTTTTCTGTTCAAAATATAATTCCATTGTTTATTCAACAGCAGAATTTTTATCCTTTCTCAGCCTTGATTTTGCTGAGCTGTTCTCATACTCTTTTAATCACACTACAGAAAGCACACTATTAGGTGTTCACTGGAGTGTGGTTGAATTAGATAAACTGTACTTGTATCTTTTTGGGAAATCAGTTCTTATTGTCAGACATCCAATTATCCATTATTGATTGCCTTATCACCAAAAAAAGTACTTGTCCAGTCCTTGGTAAATTCACTTAGAACTTCATGTCCTTTTTGGTTAGCTCCATCTCTGGTATTTTTATATTTGCAAAATGTGTTCAGAAGCCTTAGACACAACTGTGGTCTGACTAATCACATAAAGTTGCCAAGATTACAAGCATTCCTACTCTCAAATGTCTGCCCTCTCTCCCACTATGGCGCTCTAACTGTAAGTTGAATTTAGCTGTCTGTTCAAGACAGGAACTGCATCCATCCACCTTCCTGGGTTCCTGCCAAAACTCCTCATCCATTTATGGAGGGGCCCCATCCATAGTGTCCCCCTGTCAGTGACTGATAGCATGAGATTCACATAAGAAATGGGGATGTGGATGCAGCAATATCCTCTTTTTTGCATAATATTGTGTATTCATCATATCTGGGAGGTGTGGAGATGGTGGCCATTCCTCTGGAATGGTTTGAACTCCTGTTCTTATTTCCCCAACAGTATCTTATTTGCTGCACTAAATCAAATCAGAGCCAGGATGGGAAGCAGAGAAGAAAAGGAGGTATGTTCTGTGTCCTAAAAGCAGGTGTCACCTGCCACCACTACACTCAACTTACAGGACCAAAGCTAAACTAAACAAAAGGGAACTTGAGCATAACTCAGTGAGAAGAATGTTCCATGGGATATGGAGAGACATCTGTATTCCAGGAATTGCTTATGTATTCTATATTTAAAAGGTACTCATAAAATGTATGGGACAACTTCAGCAGGGGAACCAGAACCAGAACTCCCAGGAAATTTTTAATTACTTTTGTGCAAAGTAAGCTTCTAGTGTCAGAGGGATCACTGACTCCCAGATTGTTTGATTGCCAAGCTTGCAGTTATATTTGCTCTCTTTGTATTTCCTGCCTTCTGCTGCCTGGGCCTGGAGCTGCTCCTCACTCAGGGCAAAGGAGTAGAATTTCTCTGGGAAGTCTTCAAGTCTGTGTCTTCCAGGAGAAATGGAGATAAGTAGCCACAGGCAAAACACTTTGGTATTTGACTTATTCCTCTCTCTGTTAACTGTATAAAAAACAGTGTCTTAACTTGGCACATGAGTCAGACTTTCAGACCTGACATTTAATATTTAGGAATCATGATGTCCAACGCAGGAACCTGTGGTGTGCAGGGGTTGAGAAACCAAGTAACAAACATGACCCAGGAGCAGTCCATGAACCTGTGCCCTATTGCAAAGATTTAGGGGCAAACTGTCACAGTACTCAAAGACAGGAGAATGAACACAAATGCCCGAGGCTGGCATGTGGATCTTCACCATCCCACTGTGAGAGAGTTCACTGCCCAGTAAAACTGCGTGGGGCCTCACTCACCCATTCTAAAACTTTGCCTGATAGCTCTCGAATCTGCATTTCTTACTCTCTGTCTTGCTCAGAAAAATACAACAGATCATTCACTTACATGATGAATAAAGCTGCCCCCAAACTTGAAGAGATGTTCTGTAGCTTTGATCAGATCATGGAAGGCCTCATCCTCTCTGGAGAAACGATGTCCAAACACAACAGCACAAATTACATTGGAGACAGAATGGACAAGAGGGAAAGCAGGATTCACAGGTTTCCCTGCAACCACAATAATAAATAATAAATGTCACTGTTAATGTTTCCTGCTTTAGTGAAATGTGAGAATCCTCTAAGTTCCCCACATAACTTTCAAGAAGGCATTACATTTCACAGAGAAGCAGCAATATTTTTTCAAAACTGTAGTATTGAACTGATTCCTCACAACCATGTTGCAATCCTGCAAGCCCAGGAATGTGTGGCACTCTAAATAAATGCCAGATGTGTAAAATATTGCATCACATGAAAGAGCAAATTTAGAGGTAAAGGAAAAAAAAATCTACGCAAATTTGCTTTCTGGCAAAATCAAAATATGTTTCAAGCCTGGGAATGACTGAGAACACTACGGACAAAGGGAACCTGAGGGTAGAAGGGCAAGAAGAGAGATTGCTTTTTTCAGCAAGGACACAGAGGCATGCAAGGCTACTGTGTTTTGTCTGACCTTGCTGGAGACAACCTCCAGTAAGATAAAATGTTGTAAAATGTTGTAAACTTCTTTCAACCAATTGTGTTAACAGTATAATAACTAATTTTAAAGCAGTTATTTGAAATCTAATCCCAAGAAAACTATGTTGTGATTATGGAATATATGGCCATAAAAAACTCTATTTGTGTGTGTATTGATGCAACTGCCCAACACCCAAGGCACAATTCTGGTTAGTAACTTACTGTTCTGGGGTTTTTTCCTTGCACACATGGTTACATCTCAATCTCTTCTAGCTGTTAACCATGGGATTGGGCTTAATCTAATTATTTTTAATTTATACAACACTAGCCACAGCATGTCCTGATTTATTTTGCCCTTGCATAATGATCAGTATTGGGAAATCCTACTCACATGATCCTAACAGGGTTGATCAGGGTAGAATATTGTAATGAAGACAAGATCCTAGTCAGTGCTTTACAGAGCGTGTGCAAATGGCATTACAGGACTTAATTCATCAGCATTGATTTTGTCTCTCTATGCATCAGCACCATAAAAGAGCCAAAAATGTGCCCTTGAGGCAAAGGCCAACGTCATCCTGGGCTGCATTAGGAAATGAATTGGTGGCAGGCCAAGGGAGGTGATCCTTCCCCTCTGATCAGCACTGGCAAGACCCAGCTGAAATTCTGGGTCCAGCTCTGGACTCCCCAGTGTGAGGGACATCAGTGTATTAGAAAAAGTTGAGTAAAGGGCCACAAGGACAATTAAGGAATTGAAGCATCTGACATGAGAGAGGCTGAGAGAAATAGATTATTTAGTCTGGAGAAGGGAAGACATAGGGAGATATCTAAATATGTATAAATACATTGTAGAGAGATATAAAGAACAGAGAACCAAACTCTTCTCAGTGGTATCAAGTAGGGCAACAGGAAAAATATAAGTACATTAAATTCTATGTAAACACAAGAAATGTTTTTACTATAACTCTCACTGAACAGTGAAACTGGTTACACAGAAAGGTGGTAAAGTCTCCATTGCTGCAGATATTTACAACGCCACCCTAAGAAACCTGCTCAGATTTGAGTAGGGGCTAGGCTAGACCATCTTCAGAGATCCCTTTCCACTAAGAGTGCTCTATAATGTAAATAATCAATAAGCTCCAGTTTTTCTTCTCAATTTTAGTAGTTTTATAAATAATTTTGAGCAAGAATAGTCTCCTTGAAAACACAAGATGGACCGGTGGCTTTGCATTTTCAGTCCATTCCACACAGACAGTGTAAGACCCTGCACACTCCCTTGTGGAACAAAAGCTGCCCTCAGTTTCAGGACAGGACAGAGAAGTTCATACACTAAAGACATCAGAATAATGGCAAAAATGTATTGATATTTATTGCAGAAATACCTTTCATACTTGCAAAGAAGTCTACCAGGTAGTGAGCTTCTTCTTGCACTCGGTACTCCAGACCTCTTTTCCCCAGACCAAGGTTGCGTAAAGTCCTCAGAGCAAACCTCCTCTGCTGTTTCCAGGTGTGGCCAGTTGCCAACATAATTCCTGCATCATTAAAGGAAGAGCTCCTTATCATGCTAATATTAATCATAGACAAAGACTACATCAAAGGATTTACTAAGCCAGAGAACATAAACTGTTGCCTTACCCGTGAACACAAAGGCACTAAGGAACAGCTGTGACCTGTAATGATTTTGATAGGGATGAAATAGGCAAACTCAGCTGGGTCTAAGATGACTTGCAGGATTAAGTTTGATCCCAGACAATCAGATATCTCAGGATATCTCAGCTGCTTCTCTAGTGCTCTTTGCAGTGCTTGTCTCACAGTTTCTGCTATGCCTGAAGCTCACCTGAATCAGGGTGATGATTCTCATGAAGGGAAAATGGGAAAGAATCAGAAGACAGTCCGCAGCCAAAGAGAAAAGATCCTGTCTGTAGGGCAGGAAAGTTCAGTATTTAGGCTTTGTTACAGACTTTGGAAATTTCTAGTGTGGTTGGTGGTATGAAACCTACAGCAAGGCTGAAACAGAAGCACACTGAATTTCTAGGTGCAACTGTGCCAGCAGGAAAATATTCCCCAAAGGAAGGGAATGGGAAGAAGATCCCACTGTCAAACTCACTCTTCATGGAAAATGTCATAGTAGGAGGCAATTTGTCCAGGACAAAGAATTGGGTAGTGTCCTGCTTTTCCTCCATTTCTCTGCAACACAATTTACCATTGTCTCATCTATCTCATCATCTCTGAATCTGCCTCAGTGAGCATTCCATAGAAGATATTATGAATCCTTTTGCTCTCGCTAGTATTTTCCTCCTGCTACTCTCAAAAAGCTATTTTCTCTCTGTACCTTGCAGCTCACCCAGCAGTCATTCCTCACAGACAAACCCTGCCTCTGTGCTACCTCTGAAGGTGGTCACAAGTTACAAAAGATACTGAAATTTGTCAAGATGCACTGTTTTTGCCTGGAAATTCTCACCTTTTCCTTTGGCCATTGCTCTGAAGAAAGGGGACACCAGCCTGCCAGAAACATCTTCAGGGTGTGTGGTCATACCATCCTTCACTGCTTGAAATCCATTCAGTATAACCACTGGGGCCCATCCAAACCATAAAGTGAAGATGTTGCCATGAATTTTTGCCAGCTAGAGATGGGAGAGAAGCCAGGAAAGCACAGATGAAATCCCACATATTGCAATCAGAGGATGAACCTGTTCTTGCACTGATTACAGGACCAGCCCTAAGGTGGAGTGATGCTTTCCATCTTTCCCACCAGACTACAATTATCACTGAGAAAGCATGAATGGCTTTTCCAACATTCACTGTTGGAAACACCCATGTATTCCCACTTTTCAGAGCCACATGCCTATGTCAAGAAGAATTAAGTATTTTTTAGTACTGTATATAAGCCAAGGCTCATTTCACACTCATTAATGGGCTTAAGGGTATTTCCTATTTATTAATTTATTTCAAGTGTGTTTCTATCATCTGTACAAGTAGCACAAAAGAACACAGAACTGTCAGAGGAGTAATTAGCTTAGACACTGGACTTTCTTCTTTTCTCCCATCAGTTTTTGATCTTGTCAATATGAACAAGCTGATACACACAGAGTGCAAGGAAGTATTTATTTACTGCTCAAGCTAAAGAGTGCCAGTGCTCAGAAAGCTACAAGTCCATGCTGTGAAAGTAATTTTTTTAAAGTTTTTTTTTCCCTAACTCCAAATCTGATATATAATCCCTAAATATATTTAATTCTAAATTATATCAATTTTCACATGAATTCATATAATTTAGTGGCAAAGGGTGATAGAAAGATATCAAGCTTCACACGAATTTCAGTGAAAATCAGTGTTTAAAAGGGATAGCTTTAAACACCACAATGACTTTCACACATTCAGAAATTCCAATACCAGGTTTCTTAGCTTGACAAACTACTTTACACTGCAATATCTTTTTCTTATTTTGCAAACCAAACCAACAGTTCTGAACCAAAGAAAGTGTGATATCACAGTGGCCAGTTAACAGTTACAGTACCAGCAATGAGGTTCTGGGAGAGGATGTTTTCACATAGCAAGCAACATGAGAAAGGAGAAATCACAAAGACTTTTAGACAATTAGGAGTACCTGAAAATAAGTACCTGCATGAGAAGATCACGATTAAACTGAAAGTTCAGCTGTATCAGTGTCCCAAGGACTGGGAGAGGGACTGGTCCAGGAGGAAACCGTCTCCGCACTCGCTGCAACTTGAAAAACTGCGTAATTAGAAGAAATACAGCCACTGCCACAAGAGCTTCACTTATGCTCAACATTTTAGAGTCTGCCTATACCAGCTTGCCTTTATTCAAAATTGTATTTTGAAGCTATTAAGGTTGGTTGCTAAACCAGTTTTTTCATAAGAGCTTGAATTCACATAATAAATATTCCCCGCCTCCAACCCTACCTCTTTATTATCAACCACTCCTTTTTGTTCCACTCATTACATTCTCATGCTTCAGCATATTAATGATGCACACCCTTCTTCTTCTTCTTATCCAGATTATACTTATTCAATATAGATCACAGGATTTGTAGGAACAGTATCTTACAATACTAGGGCCAAGATTTTCCAGGCAATGGAGATGCACATAAATTCCCTATCTAGTTTTTCTGAGCCAATTTGGAATGGTATGTGCTCCTACAAATACTCCAGGAATGCTTTTAGAAAAGTAATAGCCATACATACAAATTAAGCAGGCAAATGTAAGTGGATATTAAATCTTGGAGTTTTTAAATTGGTTTGTATATATTCCATGTACATGTTATATCTAGTAATGGCAAGGCTGATAGAAGTTTAAAAAGCCCACATTTATCTTAAGATACATATACAACTATCTAATGCTTAATACAAAAAGCAAAATTTGTTACACTCTTGAATGCAATTGAAGACATAACTGGATTAATGTATGATCTCACTTTTTTTCCCTAACATGGTAGCACTAGAAAAACTCACAGAGGGTTTTATCTGCTTCTACACTTCCCCATTCAGTCTTGACATAGAGTGGGTATCCTTTATGATTTGAGAAATCATCAGAAAGTATGTGAGAAAGATAATGCATATTAATGGAGAAAGTACCTCTAGTGTTAAATATACAGATTTAAAAGAAAAAAAATTTAAAACATGGGAAAAACCTAGTAGGGATCTTGAGCTACTGCCAGAATGAAGGGCCTCAGCAAGAACTAGTCATGACATGAGTGTGGATTCTTGGTAACTTGAAAACAGAGTCTGTAGCCAAGGCTCTTTCCCAAGCCTCAGCACTGGCAGGAACTACAAACACAGCACCAGGGGAGTTCACTGGCTGAAATCAGACCATGGAAACCTCACAAGAGGGGTTCTGGGCACCACATGACCATGACCATTGCAGTCCCCTCTTACAGATCCAGACTGAAATGCTTCCCTCTCGAAATTGCCCATCCGTTGAGAGCAAAGCACTTGTAAAAGAAACATGTTTTCACTAATCTTCTGAGAAAACTGCCAAGACTCGTGCACCAGCTCATTTCTTGCAAGCTGACTTTGGGACAAAAAAATATTTCCAGATTTTGTGGCTCTGGAGCACAGAAGACCCTTATTCAGAAAGAACAGCCTGGAGTCTGCCAGCACACAGTTTACAAACCTCCAGATCAATTAGCCTTCGTTACCACTAATGCATAACTGATTAATGTGTACTAACCAAGGGATGTTTATAGGTTTTCACAAAGGCTTTGTTTGTGCACACTAAAAAGGTGATTTTTCAAGACAATCATTTCTAATTTATCTCTCTCCTTCAACAGGAAAAGCAAAATTCTCTTTAAAAAGAAATTGGTTAAGTTTTGCCTTCTCTGGCTCCAGTGTAATCTCACAAACTCTGCTTTAAATTCCCCAATTTATCAGAACTTTCAATTTTGAATCAATATAATACATTCACTTTTCTTTTAGATATTGGAAAATTTCCCATCTAAATAATATTTATCAGAACTTTCAATTTTGAATCAATATAATACATTCACTTTTCTTTTAGATATTGGAAAATTTCCCATCTAAATAATTTTTCATCAGAAAAAGTAATTTTGTCCACTGGAATTTAAGTCCCAGTGCCTTCACACCACAAGGGCTGCAGTCTCACACCTTTAACCAGTGTTCAGCTGGAGCCAGCCTGGAATACAGTTGTCTGGAATACACTGGAAAAGGAAGATGACTGTGGGTCAGTTCAGATCTGAGGCATGGGATTTATCTTACTTTATTTGATGGAAAATGTATTTATGAGATAGCCAAGGCTCCATTTTCTAAATAATTACTAAATGCAGCCAGCAGCAGCATTTCTTCAGCACTGTCTACCAGCTATTCTTTAGGATTAATGATTTTTAACTTGCCAAAGGCAAGCAACTGCTGCCTCCCCTCCCGGATCCTGATGAGTTGTTCTCTTACCAGTGTGGAGTTACTGCCAGGGGGATGTTTGTAGGTCCAGCTTGAGGAGATGTCACACTAACCACCTACATGCCAGGACATGGGTAGAACAATCCCATAAAGGTGATCCTGTGGGCAAAGAAACTGCCAACCCAGGTTTCATCTTGTCTGCACATCCCTGCCTGTTAGACTGGGGTGCTTTAAAACACAAGGTGGGCAGAGGCACCTGAAACAAATACAGCTGTGATGATGATGCCATTCCTGGAGATGGCACTGTCAGCTAATCAGAGTATAAAAATAATCCTTCTTGTGTTGGCATCTAATATCCAATTTGTACCTCATACAAGAAGAATGTATCCCAACGCCATAAAAGAATATCCCTTGTTAACTGCCAGTAAGCAAACCAGCAAAAAACCTCCACTTCTGCCAAGTCCTTAGGCACCTGGTTCATAAAGACTTCCAGAATTCTTCAGTAGTGCCAAATCTGCTCTTGGTCGTGGTGTGCTAAGTCATCTAACTGTGAAAAAGAATCCATTTTAAGAAATGAAAGAATAAATTAAGCTGAATAAATTTTTGGAGAATCTGGAGCAATCATCATAAGTAGACTACCTGGCATGAAGTTCCCATGTTGCTGGCAACCAATGGGCGCATAAAAAAGGATAAAGTATCAACACTCTCTGACTGCTCACTGTTGTCATTTGTCTTCCAGTTCTTGCTCTTGGCTTGTGATATGAAAAGCTCTCCACAACTGCCTGATGAAGCCACTCTTCTATTTTCATCAGAAGGGTTGAAATGCTATCTGGTTTAGTGGGTGAAACCCTGAACTGTCTTCCCAAGTGACAATGACAGAGTTGTAAACAACAGGCTTGCTCAACACCAAACCATATCAATCTAAGAAAATGTGTTATCTGCCCTAGAAAGCTCCCTCCAAGAGCTTCTTTTACCTCCTGCACCCACTAATATCCTGAGATAGACTGGAAGACCTCTAAGCCTATCTCCACAAATGCAACTGTGGCTTATGAGAAGAAATCTTTATTAATGAGATTTCCAATTCATAGACTACACTTCAAGATCATTCTCTGTAAAACCACTTTCCAGCTGGTAATATGTAAGTCCCAATTCTGATTCTTCCCTTAATGCCTTTATTTGTTACACAATTTACCAATATTTTCCAAACAGAAAAAAAAAAAAGAACAAAATATCAACCCTTTATAATTATGATGCTCAGGATGCAACTGTCTGTCAAGAATCTTTCAGGGTAGTGATTAACCAAATGAAGAGGAAAGCAAGAATCTTAGGACATGCAAGAAGGAATTCACAAAGAAGCAGTTTTACAGAGTGACTCTTCCCTGAATCTGCCATTCCCTATCGAGGAATGGCACAGAGCTGGTAGGGAGGAGGCTTCATTGTGCTCCCAAAAACAAACTTGGTGTTGACTTCCTTCACTCCTTCTGGCAGGGTGAATGTGAATGCTTGTAGCAAGGTGGAAAAGACAATAAAGAGCTCCATCCTTGCCAACAGCTCCCCCATGCACACACGATGCCCTGTGAAGAAACAGAAAAGGCACTTCAGCCAAAGGATTTCTATCACACCTCCTTTTCTAAACTACCTGGGATTTTCTTTGCTTGTTTACTGCAGATTTTATCCTTTTCTCTTAAGTTTGTCATTTAATGATTCATAGCTGAAAGGCTGCTTGTATTTCCCCAAAAAGTTTCGATCTCCATTTACGGCAGGCAGTAAGACGTTATAGAAACTGTCACCAGGGTGGCATAGTTCACATTTACAGTCTTCCCAGCTCCATGCATTTTTCTGCTACTGCTTTGATAGCTGGATCTCTTCTCAAAGAGAAACTGGATCTGTCTTCCAAGAAAGACCTTTCTGTGTGTCATTCTTTCTCTTCTCATCTTTTCCACAAACAACTGGACTTCTCTCTTCTTGGAGATATTTAAAACATTTTTTATATACTCATTTGTAGGTGCCTTCCCAGTTATTTTGAGGAGTGAATGGATCTGAAGTTGTTACCACAAGGAGTAAATAAATCCCTCTTCAGTGCACTTACCTATAGCAAATGGTAAGAATGCTTCTCTGTTTACAAAGTTTCCATCTTTATCCAGAAAGTGGCCTGGGTTGAACTGATCGGGTGTCTCCCATTTTCCAGGATCAGCCAGAACAGAGTCAATATTTGCTAAAACTACTGTGTTCTGAAAAAAAAGGAGCAGTGGCTTCAACAAAAACTGTGACTGTAGAGTCTACTGATATGCAGGACAAAGCCTTGTGAAAGGCCATCCACAGGGGCAGTCAAACCTTAGAGGCACTAGAAGAAGAGTTCATGCTCCGAGTTAGGAAAAAACTCAAACCCCTTTCTAAAATCATCTAATGGACCAAAGATCAAATTGATTCAAACATGCAGCACATTTGTACCTTTGGAATGCGATATCCCAGCAGCTCTGTGTCCTTCACACTCATTCTGGGCAGTGCAATTAAGAGTATGTTACTGTATCTCTGGATCTCGTGAATTACAGCATTTGTGTAGGGCAACCTTTTCCTGTCCTCATAGCAAAACACATGGGAACAACCCACAACAGCATCCAGCTCCTTCTGGACTTTCTCTAAGGAGGAATATTCAGCTTTAAATATACAGCAAACAATCTATAAACTCTATAGTCATAATTTTTCCTGTTGCCTTTTGCAGACAGAATGGCATCCAACTAGATGAAAAAGATACTTTATAAAAAAATAATGCCTTCAAATTCCCATACAGATGACCTGAAAAAAATTGACATAGAGTTTGTTTATAGGTTGCATATATACTTTTAAAATAAGATAGTGGATGAGGTCATTCTATAATAATATGTGGGTTCCTGTTACATTTACTGCTCTAAGGTAATTTATGAAAAGACTTTTATTAATATTTATTTCTACAGGCAAGGAGTCAACTGGAAAAAATATTAATCGTGTGTTAGGGGAACAGTTTAGT